CCGGGTGGCCACACAAACCCGTAACTGAAGTTCATGCATCTCTTACCTATGGAAAGCACCGACGGTGTGTCATCCAACACATAAGCGTTGATCGGTTCCTCGAACGACTCAGTCTGGAAGTTCGACACAAGATCGGTATCGGTGATTCCATTTGCGGTCTGGAATGATATGGGCTCTGGAGTCACGAGTGTCTCGAGACTGTGCTTCTCGATCTTCTTCTGAGATATGAGGTCATGGCCACATCCAGTGTCCATGAGAAACTTGATCTTCTTCTTGAGGATGACTGGTTGAACCATGCATTTGAACACACCCTGATTGATGATCCGCTTGCTGTGCGCAGCATCGAGTTCACGCTCCACGATGGAATCCTCACCGTCGTAGAAGGAAACCTCTTCCACCCGAGACGTTCCTGGGATCCGTACGAATGAAACTCGATCTCCGCATTGATCATCATCGTCGTCAACCATGTCTCTCATGATCTGTGCCCTCAATCTCGCTTTGTGCTTGGCGAATTCCAAAGTCACGGCGCGATCCTCATCGTTGACAATTGCTTCCATGTCGACGTACTTCACCTTCCGTTCTTTGTCCTTCTTCGACTTTCTAGGACACGAAGAAGTGAACTTCACGTCGTCAGCGAATGTCACGTTGCGTTTGATCTCTTTTCGGGTCGACGTAGTCGGTCCCGAAGATTCGTCGTCGGTTGAACAATCCGAGTCAGCGTCGCTGTCAGCGGATGGACAATCTGACTCTTCCTCATCTTGTCTTGAAGATCGCTTCCATATAGCCGGGGCTAATGGATTCCACCTTCGGCACAATCTAATGGCGGGTGCCGCGGGGAGTGCTTTGGCCTTAGCATTCGGTTTCGCTGGAGCTGCCTTCGCTTCGGATTTGGCTTTGGCTTTCGCCTTTGGCTCCGGTGCTGGGGTAGCTGCGGCCTCATGCTTGAAAGGACAATTCTCTCTTGAGCACGAGCCTGTGTTCTTGAAAGAGTAGCATATCCTATTTCCTCCTCCTCCAGATGGACTTGGAGTTCTCGTCCTCGGCGTAAAGGGTCGCTCTGGAGTCTTCTTCGAGTGACTGAATGGGCACTTCTCACCATTTCGACACCCTGCATCTGTGAAATGGAACTTGCAGCGGATTTGCTTCTTGCTCTTGTCGCCTCTGTTGTCCGCCGACTCACTCCTCGTCTTCTTCTTGGGCTTTGGCTTGGTCTTCGCATGACTCTTCGCCTTGCTCTGAGGTAGCACAGGTGTTGCTTTATCCGGCTTGGTAGGCGAAGCCTTGACCTTTGCGGATGGAGCTGCATTAGGCGTTGGTTTCTCAGGTACCTTGGCCGGCGTAGCGAGCAAATCCTTGCCCTCTAGCATCTGGCGCAAACCAATTTGGGTCTGAGTGAGATTTGATTGTTCTCGTCTCCGCATGATGGTACGATCGATGATCTTCATCAGATTGTCGTACGATCGGTCTTCGTGGTTGTAGGGCAAGTGGTCATAGTGCATGCCCAAATCCATCTTCATTGCGGGCGAGTCCTTGATCTTGCTGTGCAAGCAATCACGGAGAGCTGTCTTTGGATGGTATGTCTTCTGGTCTCATCCGTCCAAGAACTTCCAACCATGTCTGCTTGAACGTATGAAGTTTGTTGTCGCCTTGGTACTGGAGCTTCACCAAGTACTCGAGAGTGATGATCATGTCGAGACGGTCATGCGTTCGAAAACTTTCATACATCATCGCAATGATTTGTCGTCCTTTGATGATCTTCCCCTCGGGCCTGCTGATGTAATCGTTGGCCTTCCGGTTCACCTCCAGGTACAGATCAGCGGATTTGTCACCACCAGCGCGTAGCATTGCAACCATGGCGACCCCCAATTTGACGTCTATGCTCTTGAACTTCTTGTGTCCTGAATCGTTCAGTGCTTCGACATCAGGGAATGGATTGAACGCTGGTGCCAGCCACAACATCCAGTCCTCATGATTTGGGTCGGCTGACGCTCCTAGGACATTCGCCGTGCATACTGACCGCCAATTGTTCAAGTGAGTGAGAACAGGCCATGGAGGGACGGTCACTTTATCGGCCTCTCTCCTGGAAATTCTCACCTCCGTGACCTCAGGATCTGCATCTCCGTCAGGATCACGCGCATGAGGGTCAGGATCCGGCTCAGGTTTTCCTCCACCGTTCTTCTTCTTATCGTCATCGTCATCATCAGGCGAATCTGGAGGATCATACCCTGTGCCGGCACCTTCATCTTGCTCTCCCTCTTCGTTCTCATCGCCAGCTTCATCACCGTCATCGTCTCCATTGTCTTCCTGCATCGTTTCAGCGAATAATCTCCACTCATCACGATCAGCTCGGAGACGTTGTTCGGCTTTCTGGGCCTTGAGTACTTCGCTTCGCAGATCAGCAATCTTCTCTTCGTACTGTTCCGCGACCTCTTTCTCGATCTGACGTCTCCTTGCCTCATGGATGGAAGCATCGTAGGTGACGGGGGTAGCCTTTGGGGCACCATCTGGGTCGTTGCCCCTCATAGATGCGATAATGCCGTCGATACCAACAGGTCTTGAAGAGCTGGCAGATGCTGTGGATTTCGATCCCAACATCCCGCGATCCTCCAGGAGTTCACGTAGCTGTCGGTCACGTACAGCTGCCGCATCACTTTGTCCATGAAATCCGCTTGGTATGCCAAACAGAGTGGCTGCACTGGGCGTGGTACGCGCATGTGCTGGACTGCTAATGCCTGGCACGTGGTGCTCGGGCATTGCATCCGCCACGATCGGCGTTGCATAGGATTTATTTGCCTCACCTTTGATGCTGCCAGTGAAGAAATTTCCACCGGTAAATGGAACGCCATCCATCGCAAGGTTCTTGTCCTTGTCCGATTCTGAGAATGCGAACTTCTCTTTGGCGACTGGACTAATTTGACTTGGGGACCGTATTTCAGGGGATCGCACCTCACCTCCTACGGAAAATGCAGGTACTACGTCCTTTCCTACGTGCTCCCAGCCAGACTCAGTAGTCCTCGAAGACATGGGCATGCTCGAAGGCCGTGTCACTCCGCCATGGTAGTTGGAGTTCCGTGCTGCCTCCAGTTCGCTGCGTGTCCTCGCTTGAAGATCTTCTTGTGCTTTGAGCGTTTTCCTGAGTTCACTCAGCTCGTCGTGCAAGGTAGGCAATGCGCCCCTCGCATGATCCTCATTCTGATGGAGTCGGTCCTCTGCATCTTGCATCCTCCTCACAGCCATTTTGCGGTACTCTTCCTCCTCACCAAGACGTTCGCGAAGCCGAAGTCGCTCTTGATCAATGGCTGCGCTGTTTCCAGCTAGCCCTTGAATCTCGTTTATGGCTCGCAACTCCTGATTCCTGACCAGGTGGAATCGTTCCTGCATTGCTTGCAAGGCTTGTTCCGAACTTGCTGTGTTCGACCGGAGGAACAAGTTCTCTCTGGCTTGTTCATGAAGTTCATGAGTCAGATGCTCATACTCACGTGCCATAAGCTCACCATCGCCCTGCGCTCTTGCCTCCAACTGCACACAAAGTTAGTGGCTGCTTCCGTGCGAAACACATGTAGCTGTTGAGCCAGTTCCTCGGCAACGGCGTGCGCTTGACGTTGTTGAACAAAGTTCTGTTCATCCATGCGAAACAAAGCTGTTTCATAGTCTCGCTTCATCTCCTGATTGACATTGTTGATGTGCCTCATGGCTAAGCATGCATGGTCACGTTGTCGTTCCAACTCTTCGATGCGAATTCCAGATCCTTCATCCTCTTGCTGCATCTCCTTGATCTTCTCCATCAGGGTCTGGACAACACCTTCGTACTCCTGCACCTGACTTCGATAGTACATCTGCTGTGCAAGATTCGATGCTTCAAACTGTTGCGGAATTGTCAGTCCCTGGTAGGCATTCGGACCATCGGCTATGGCTGGTGTAGTCACCGACGAAGCGTCACCCCGTGCAGGAATCGTGTCCAGAGTCATATCCAAATCGTCAGCTTCGCGTGGTTGATTGGTAACCATTCGATTCCATGTCATGGACTTGTCACGCCCACGAGTGGCCGAAGTCCTAGATCGTGCTGAAGAGCTTCTCGAAGATGATGGTCGCGGCTTCTTTTCCAAAGTCTTCACTCCCTTGTCCTTTGCCCTCGACGGGGTCCGAGGTGCCTGCAAACCAGACGCTTCGGATCGTCGTTCTGGAGCCTTGCTCGTCCTCGAACCTGTGGATGTTGGACGCGAAGGCGTGGATGCTCTTGGTAGACTCTTTGCTTTTGCTTTGGGAACTGCCTTTGCAATGGCCAGCGCAGGAGATTGACCTTTGTCATCTTCCGTGGAGCTATCAACGGATTGCACCACTGTGTCATCAGCTGTTGACTCACCAACGGCTGGCGCTGCCACATCGGCACCGAAAGTCATTGTCGTATCTTGACTTGATCCCGAGTTCATTGTGGTCGTAGTAGATCAAGTAGTCCTTGCTGCAGAAAGGCAGAGCCGCTTACGGCTGATAACCTGCGTGGGGATTTGATCCTGGTAATGTTCTCTGTTGCTCACCCCACAAAGAGCTGTGTTGACTGTTGGCGTGGTTGCCGTCTACAGACTGGATCACTGCTACTTCCACACACGCACTCCTATGCAGGCAGATCCAACGTTCGCTCGTTTTGTACACTCACGGCCGGCGGTGGATCGTCTGTGCACGGGACAGCTCTGTCCACTCGGAGAATCACAGAAGATTATAGCACTTTAGCTATGGGCAATGCTTTCTAGAGCTTGTGCTCATTCTTGAGCCAAACGTTGCATGGGCGGTCATACTGAAAGGATGGATAGGCATTGCGGTGTGCGTAGCACTACCACAAGCCTACTCCTAGAGACGAGGGACGCGTGGCGTGCCCCCTTCCCTTGCACTTTACACGGTCTTGCTCACAGCTCTTATAGTGACACCTTAGAACTTGACAAGGCATCGCAGTCCGTTCGCAGGAGCCCTGCAGGTCCGAAGCAAATCAAAGTGGCATTTCGGGATCAGCGCCTATGGGTGCGGTCCCATGCATCCCACTCGGCCTGAGTGTACCCGCCACGACGCTGCTGGCGATAATACTCGTCCCATTGGGCCTGAGTATAGCCACGATACATCGGCTCAGGATCTGCAGCACGGCCGCGTCCCTTTTGGGATGGGCGGTTGCGTGCCGCGGCCTGGCGGTTCTGCTCGGCCAGCCGCTCAGTTCGGCGATTCTGATCCTGTGCGCTACGGAGGCTATCGGCTATGATTTGCGTCAGCTCAGCCGTGATGCCCTCGGCGGTTGTGCCCGTGACGTGGACCTCGCCGTCAAAAGTCAGGATCCGCTTAGCCGCATCATTCACAGCAGCCACTTCAGCAAAGAGCCTTGGAGGGAGGAAGGCGCCCATGTATGTCAAGCCGATTGGCACATCTGCGGTATCATCGATAAACCGCAATTTATGCTCTCAACGGCTCCACTTCGCAGTGGGCATAAAACACCAGCTTTGCAGGAGGAATGCCGCCACCACCATAGTGAGCTCCGGCACGTAGGTACCGTTGCTCTTCGCTGCGTCCGGGGTCCGGGAGCACAGCATTGGAGAGGTGATCGAACTTTTGCATGTCCTCGAGATTGCGTCCTTCCTGCATCATCCTCAGGTTGAACTGCCCGTCTTGCTCGAAGCGTTCGGACACTGAGTCATAGTTCAACTTTGCAGCCCTCTGCTTGCGGTCTTTGGCATCGCGGATCACGGCGGCTTCTGCGCTCATTTGGCCGCGCTTCTTGGGTCCATCGCCAAGTCCTCGGAGGTCACTTGCGAGAAGATCCTCGATTGGCGCACACTCCTTGCATGGATGCGAGGCAAGAGGGTATGGCTCATCTCCACCCGCGTCCGTTGTGTCACCCTCCTCTTCCTCGGCCTCGGCTTCGGGCTCGGGGGCGAAACCAGCAGCATCAGCAGGCTCACCCTTGCGGGTGGCTTCATCCACGACCATGGCCTCATCATCATCAATGACGGTGGCGGGCTTGGGAGCCACCTTCCGCATCTTCTTAGAAGCAATCGCTTTGGGCGCGATAGCCGCCTGCTTTGGAGGCGGTGCCGTAGATGAGCTTGCTGCCTCCTCATAGTCGCGCTTTGCACGGAAAATGTGCTCTGGCTCACCCTCGTTCTGCCCCTGGTCTGTTCTGGCTTGACGTGCTTGTAAGGGCACTTGTCACCTCTTGGGCATTTGCCCCGCTGGAATGCATAGCAAGGTTTGTCCTGGCTCCTACCGCGAGGGGTGTTAGAGCATCGGAAGGGGCAGGAGCACCAAACTTGGCGCCATGAGCCTTGGCGATAGCAGTTCTGTTTTTGCGGGTCCTATCTCTTGCCAACAACTCTTTAGCGCACTTGACCAAGTAGTCGTATGTACGTTGATCCATCCCTTCTTTAGCCCTATCATAGACCTCCAGATCAAACTTAAGCTTGCTTGAGTTGCGAAGCTGGCGAAGGAGGATGTCCCTCAAGGTTGTTTCCTCCGGCTGGTGGTTCAATCCTGCGATGACCGATTCCCAGTTGTGGATAAAGGTACTAAGGTCATCCCCGCTCAGCTGGACCTTGAGGAGGTCTTTTACGGAGTAGAGGGATCCGGCTTCTTCATTCGTGTTGAAGTAGTGTTCGAACATAAGTAGGACCTGTCTGCCTCGGACCGCTCTACCCGCAGCTGCCTCAGACTCCTTGTAGTTGATAATCTGGCGTCCCAAATCACCCCTGGCAATTCGCGAAAGTGCTGAAAGAATCTTCGTATCCAAAGTGAGGAATTTGCCAGTATCCCTCAACTTCTCAGAATCAGCATCCCTCGTGTAAACCTCTTGAACCCATTTGAATGCCTCATCGGGTTTGTCCGATGCCGCCCGGACTGCCTCCCTAACCGTGATCTTCCAACTCCTGTAAGTCTCCGGGGTAAGGAAATCGGGTAGCTTCACTGTCTCAGCTTCCTTAGCCTTAGGTTTGTCGTCGTCAGGCTTCTGGATCACTGACTTGAGTGCTTCAGCGAGGAGAACGCTCGGCTCTTTGTTTTCACTAGTGTTTGCCGGTTCTTTCAAATCACTCTGTTCAGCAGCCAACACCTCTACGCCGGGGGCCTTTGAGTCTTCAGGCTCAGCAGTGTCAAACCGTTGGGTCCTTCCCAGAACAGTCCGAAGAGACGCAGGAATCTCCCTGGGGTTCGGAAGGGTTGGAAACCACGGATTGCTAGGACCCTGAACAACCGGCGCAGTGGCACCACCTTGCGGTGGGCTTGATTGTGGCTTGGAGCTCTCACTGGGATCAACTTTCACCGGCACGGCACCACGTTGCGGTGGGCTACTTTGCGCTGTCGTCAAGACAGTCCTTAGAGAGTTGACCTCAGCTATAAGCTCTGCATTGCGATCTTGGAGATCGTCAATCAAGCTGTCGTACTGCTGTTCCTCAGAGGTAAGCCGAATCTGACTTTCATTCTCTTCCCACTGAAGCTTTTCCTCAAACTCGGAACCCAAAAAGGCTATGAGTTCACTATGGTTTTCATCGAAGGTAGCGCGCATCTAAGCGAAATGGTGTTCGTGCTGTCTGTGTTCCGCGGTGAGTGTGCGCGCAGCTTCTTCCAGCTCGGATCGATGTGCATCAAACTGCATTGCCAACGACCGTTCATCTTGACATTCCTTCTGTGTGCGTGTCAGCTGTGCCTGTAGCTCATGTGCTGTTCGCTGTTCTGCACGGGCAATGCTTTCAAGCACTCTAACTTCATTGTGAAGTTGCCCCACCAGCACGTGGGTGGACTGACTCACATTAAATGCTAGTTGCTGCCGATGGTTAGCGTCCGCGGTGGCTTCCAAATGCGAGATATACGCATTCGCCTCAGCATACACTGCATACACATTGTCGAGGGCAAATCGATGCCGTTGCTCTGCTCTGAGTTCCAGTGCATTCTGTATGCGAAGATCGTTGAGGAAGATATTGACCTGGTTGTTTTCCTGCAGTAGTTGTAAGAAATACTGATTGGCTTCCGCTTCCGTTCTCTGACCATCTGTGTTGCCCGCGGCCGCGATAAACGGCACAATGTCCATTGTCAAAGCAACCTACGGCTGATAACCTGAAGTTTCCCAGGCTACCAGCTAGACACGACTTACTACCGGTAAGTCAACCCTGTGGGTCTTTTTTCCATGGGGACTCGAGCCAAGCGGTGCGTCGCGTATCGGTATAGCTAAGGACCATAGAAATAGTATTGGAGGCAAGGTAAAATCTACACTGACACCCCCAGTTCAGTGGCCAAAGATGGCCAAACGCCCCTGGCGGGCATCAGCGGTTTTGATTCCAGTTCCAGCTGCTTGAAGAGGAACCTTGAGAATCATGCGATTCCCACCAGTTCCGGCCCGACCATTGAGTGCGATGCTAGCGATGCTCATCACGTTCTCGCTTGTCCGTGGGGGGAGCCACCGCCTCAAATTGGCGCTTGTCACAGGTGAGGGGGGCGTGCGTTCCATAGATGTCGACGAGGAGGGCTTGACAGTGACTTCGGCCGAGCGTAGCGCAGCAACTGTCTTAGCCGTAGCTGTCGCATCCTCCTGTGGCTCAACATCAACCGTGTTGTTGACACTGTGCTGCGGTGCCCACTTCAAGAAGTTTTGCATTTTTTCTGGCGAGGGACGACATCGCTCGAGCAGGCGTGCACATACACTTTTGAAACTGGGTGGCTGTGCAAGCGCAGGTTTTCAGGGAGGCGGAGACGCGCTCTGGGTGCTGCTGCTGCTGTGTTTTCGACAGGAATGCATGCTCTCGCGTCGGTTAGGGATAGAAAGTAGCTCCAAGGAGCAAGAGCAAACCTAAACCAGCGAACCCTGTAAAAGACCAGTTCTGGCGTTTGAGGCCATGAATATGTCATAAAGACGAAGACAATGCTCACTGGAGGACGACGAGGTGGACTGCAGTAACGATAAAGATGATCCGATGATCGGTGGCCGCGACGACGACGACGAACGCCAACACCACCACCAACACCAACACCGCCACCATCAACACCAGGCACCACCACCATCACCATCAGCAACACCGCGGGCACCACCACCATCACCACCATCACCACCACCACCACCACCGACGCCATCCTCACCACTGACCGCACCCACAATCACAGCCGTGACAGCAACAGCGTTAGCAGCGGCAGCAGCAACAGAGCAATAACAATTTGTTGCTGCATGTTGCTGCTAAGTGATGATGAGGCTGGCGAGGATGAGGATGAGGATGGCGATGATGAATCTGTTATATCTGTTGAGATGGTGATGGTGCAGCTGCTGTGATGATTGCGATGGTTGCGGGCTGCACGACAGCACTCAGTCATCTTTGATGCTTTCGGCGCTTGTAGGCAGACTTCAGGAGCAGCTGTGGTGAATAAGAAACTTCATGTCACGCTGCAGATCTCCGGAGGTGGACTTCACGTGAGTCTGCAGATGCTGTATAGCTTCTGCATAGGTCTGCTTAGGATTGTCTTCAACAGCCCATAGCATCTTCAGTCGGTGGATCAGTGGATCTTTGAGAGAGTGTCGGTTCATCAGCAGTTTGACCAGAAGGGACACCCACTTCTGACGCTGACGCTTGCACATCGATCGTAATGCAAACGCCAGCGTCTGCACGCAACTCGCTATCCGACGCCCGTTGGTGCGTATGTCAGCCTCGACCAGGTCTTCCAGCAGCGCCAGCATGGCATCTGCAACGGTGCGCTGCACGAAAGTGAGGGCATCGGGAGAATAGTTCGCCATCACGATGCTGGCGGGGCCAGCTACTGACTCATCCGCACTCCGGCAGTGCCGAAGCAAACTTTCCACGTTCTGCTCCACAAGCCGGCGAACCTGGCTTTCAGCAAAATGTGTTGTCTTCTGGGACGCCAGGGCCATGCACCATCGCCGACCTCAGACTGGAGCAGAAACGGCTGCAGCTGGCACAGCCGACTGATGCACTGCCAGAAAGGTGCCCTATGGTCTGCTGGCATTGGCCCACGTTGAGTAAGGAAGACAAGAGGCACTCGTGGAACTTCTGCTGCTCGGCATCGCCTCCAAAGGCTTCAGTGAAGGATGTCTCCGGTCTGCTGGCGATCTCATCCGCCATTTTTGCATAAGCGACAACTGACTCGGGCCTGCACGGCACAACTTACAGCATGGCACCCGCATCGCGACAGGCAACTGAAAAAACAAACAAACTCAAGAAAGCAGCTCGGCGACTCGATTGATTGCAAATTGAGGGTGCATGGAGGGAGGAAACGACATGAAACGACCAAACCTACATGTGTGCTGTGGTGCGGGTCTTGCCCACTCTGCGGCAGCCACCTTCAGAAAGCAGCTTGGAGGTTCCCTGTTGTGGTGAACAAGGGGGGAGCAGGAGACAAGATCCTTCTCACCAGACACGCTTCATCCGTATCCTGTACTGCAGGAAGGGATGCGCAATGACTGCAGCTTGCGAAGGGATCGCAGACAGACCGGATTCGGTTGTCTCTCGAGCCTCTCCATACTGCCCATCTCCTTCAAGTGCTCGATCAAGGCCTAGTAGCTGCACATGCACATCTTAGGCGGAGGGATGCAGACGACTGCAGGCCTCGGGGCTTCTCGTGCGGCAGGAGACCAGGCGCCAGCTCAGCAACTCCTGCACCTGTACTGCACCGAGACTCTACACAAACAACACCGTTGCAACACCTGGCCCTGCCGCTGGCTGCTTTGCATCCAAGCCGCGCTCAGGTACGGCAGAAGGTTTGGCCTGAGGCTTCTTCCGCTGAGACGTCCCATGGGCCAGGAGAAACCGAAAGACCGCACGGTCAGGCCACGTAGAGCCGAGGTGCACATGAAGGTCGTGCGGGGTGCACTCCCCCATGCCGACCTGGACGCCTTCGGGCGCCTTGGGCCGAGGCTGTTCACGTGCTAGTGGCTAGTGACAGTGGCATTTGACTGATCGCGCACTCTCTCTGAAGGTCTTCTTCGGAGCCCGGCTGCAACTGCGCTTTGGGAACGGGTCGAGATCTCTGGCACAGACCAATCGGCCTAGGCTCATCTACATCAACTCGGCTCGCAGCATCGCAGCAACTGCATGCGAGGGAACGACTCATGGCCTTTCGGCAAGAGGCAGAGCAGTCCTCACCGTCCGTCTCCGTCTGGCAAGCTGCATCGGCTCGGTCAGGTGGTGGGGAGTCGTTCTCTGGCACGGAGCTCGGCGATCTTGAGGACCTTGCCAAAAACCACATCATCACGGAGTTGTCACGGCGGAACCATGTCAAGGCCGGGTCACTCCAACTGGATGCAAGGGTTGTCGTCGGCGTCCGCGGCAGCGTGAAGCCGTGGCAAGGCCTCTACTGTAATCACAGAGACAGCTAGCGCTTTGAAGCATGAATCTCAGCGAAATGATGCTTTCAGGAGTGCTCCACATCAAGTTGCCGATCCACCTCAAGAGGGTCCAGTTGCCTGCACGACTTTCTTCCCCCGGTCTGGGCCCCAGGCTGTCGGATCCTCACTGTGCTGTGGCGCTCTGCTGTCGACATGCCAGCGCTCCGCCGCCTGACAAGGCAAAAGCCAAAGCCGCCGAAGCACAACTGCACATAACTGCACTCCGAACAGTGGGTGGGGCGAAGAAGCCGGTTGCCCTGATCCGTCCTTTCTCAGCCTCTCAAAGCCACGCCTCTTTGTCCTGCACGGGAAGCAGGCGGGTGCCGTTGGCGCTGGCGGCGCCACTGCTGGGACTCGTGGCAGGCGTCGGAGGCACGCCCTCCGCTGCCAAGGGCTCCTGCGCTGGAACAGACTGTCTTGAAGCCTCTGCTCCGCGCATGTTTCGGGCAGCTTTTGCTTGCGTTGCAGAGATTCCAGGCTTGCGGATGTTGATACAAAAGCTCGAAACCTGCGCGCCACAGGCTATAGGCATCGCAAGCGGAAAGCCTGAAAGCACTGTCGCCTGTGTGTCGAGAAGGCAACACCTGATCCCTCAACTTCCGGCGGAGGAGGCCTTCCACCACAACGAGCGGATCCAAATCCACCCTGCCGTCCTCGGCGTGACGCCACGGCTCCATCTCTTGGCACCTCGTTTATGCAATACGGACCCAGAAAGCTTAGCAGTATTGTCTCACAAGACAAGGGTTGCACTGCACTGCAGCAAGAGGAGCCTCCCTGGCTCATGCCACATGCTTGTCACAGCTTGTCTATCTGCCCGTGACGCTTGCAACCGGGGGCACGCATCTTGCCAATGGTGTTGTCCCATTTGGATAAGCCATATTTGCAGTTGATGGCACTGCATAGAACAATCCTCCAGCTGCTGTTTGGCGTGATACAGCCTCAGATTTGGTCAGGCAACTGCGAGACGAGCCGCAAGAGCTCTGCGGCCATGCCAATGGCACCAAGCCGCTGCTGCATCTGGCAGCTGTTTACAAGCTTCAGCCCCTCGTTCTCTTGCCAAAGCTGGGCGTGCAGCGTCCTCCAGGCTGTGCACGTTGCCTGCAGCTGCTCCTGCATGCCCAGCCGCCTTGGGTTTTGCACCACTTGACTGCAAGATCGGAGAACAAGCGCACACACAGGTCGCTCAGGGCCCGGCTGATGCCTCTCCTGCTGGAGCCTGAGCAGGTATATGCAAGCATGTGCCAGATCGAAGGGCTGCGCTTTGCAACATGATCTTCTCACCCCCGCAAATCACGCGCCCGTTCCTGCCCTCCAGCCTTGCTTGCACAACCTCCCCAACACTGCTTGGACTCGCAGCCAAGCCACTCGCACTGCAGCTGCTGGGCATGCTGCAGTAGCCATGCGTTGTTGCTCAGAACCGTGTATGCCATTGCTTCAAGCTGCTCTCGCCTTGGATGCTTGCGCCCGCTTGCTTGCACAGCCGGATCTCAAAGCGGAAAGAACCCTGCCGGCGGCTTGGGGCCAGACTCGGGATTGCCATCACCGTCACTAACATCCTAGCAGGGAAAGCTCGAGACAAAGGGGTTTCCCCAAGCCGTCCAAGCCACTGAGGGAGCAAAGGCACTCCCCCAAGATCACTTCGGCAGTCCTGAAAATCGCTCGGCTCACTCGCGCCCGCGTCGGTACTGGCATTCGTGATGCCACTCAAGCTGACCCTCTTCTTTCGTGGCCTCAGTGACCCAAGTGCTTGACTGCATACGTCCGGCATGCTTGCACCAAGGTACGGCAGCTTTTTGCGTGTCCGGTTTGGACGCCTGGCCGCATGCAACGAAAAGATGCACACTGCGAGAATCCAGCAAGCTTGAATCAAGTTGCTTTCTGCGTTTGCCACTTGTCGGCGTCGTGAGCAAACCGTCTTCAAGCGTCTGCAGCTGCCCACGACACATGGCTGCAGGAAGGAGCCTCGCTGGCCCCGTCATGCTAAATCCTCAATGAAGTTGTACATTCATGCCTGCACTGCGTGGCCCCCAGCCTAGCTGTTTCCGCACACAATATGCTGCAATTTGCTGACATGCAGGGGCGAACAGCCAACGACCTAAGAATCTGCACCGCAGTTACGACGATGTAACATGCAAGTCGCTAATTTATTCTCCCGTGCCGGGTAAATAGCGTCGCTGTGTTGCTCTTCGAGCCAAGCCTGGAATCCTATGGAATCCTGATACATCTTGGGCTGCTCTGCACAGCAGGCACAAGCATTGAGAGCAAACATGCTCATGACCATCGATGGGCAGCTTGAGAAGACTCTGACTATGTGCAAAGAAGCCTTTTGCTCTCTCGGGCCCGTGTCGGCTCGATGGATCTTTCAGCGGCCTCTCAGGAAACACAAGCAAAAAGCACAGGGTGCACAAGGCACACTCATGCAGCGTAAGCGACACTGTGCTGTGTAACGCAAAGTCTTGACCTTCACCATGGCTCTGCTGCTGCTGCTGCTGCTGCTGCTGCTGCTGGCTGCTGCTCACAGCCGTTGTTCGTGGTTTCGAAGTGGTGCCCCAGTACTAAGAAATACGATTTGTTAGTGGCTTCGAAGTGGTGCCTCAGTGCTAAGAAGTACGATTGAGTGGTGTCCCAGTGCTAAGAAATATGTTATGTCAGAAATCCGCATGAAAATGGCACACCAAAAGCACCATGCTCGCAAGCCCTCTTTTGCATGGTGGATTGGTGTGGCTGCCGACTCCCGGGATGTTCCTTCGGTCGAAGACCTCAGCCTAGAAAGAGGCCGTTTCGAAACACAGGAGGGTCCCCTCCCTCAGGGCCTACGGCACCTGGGGATCGGGAACCCTCCTTGTACCGAAAAAGGAGTTCCAAAATTTTGTGCCGTCCAGAAAGAAGCCTGTACAGGAGGCAGCCACATCCTCACCGGGCGCCCTGCGCGGACCCATGGGTGAGATCAGAAGGATCGTCGAAAATACGATCTTCCAGGATAGAACGGATGAGGGAAAAATGCTTGAGCACGGGTTCCACCGGCAAGCAGAGAGATGGAGTGAAACCTTGAAAGTTGGGATGAGTCAGATCATCAGCCCACGTGTTGAAGTCACGCTTGACGTGGGAGGGAGCAAGCTGCATACCATGCCGGTGCAGCTGGTACAGTACCTCCATGAGGATGACAGACGTTGGCATCCTCTTGGACTTATCGTTCAGGAGCGAGTAAACATTCCTTTGGTTGTCGCTGACCAGGGGGAGCCTGAGGTTCGGGATGAACGCAGGCGCCTTTTCCATGAGAAAGTGAGAAAGGATCAGGGTGCCAAACATCTCGAGGGCAGCAATGCGCTTTTTCGGGCAGCCCTTGTCAAAGGCCCATGGATGCCGCTCTGCAGTGACCTGGTAATGGAACCAGAAGACTTCCGACTTAGACGGGGAGTCCACGTTGGAAAGCCAGCCGCCCACATAGGCGCTGCCATCATCTGAGGCGCTAGCATCACTTGCCCCCAACCAAATGGCAAGCGGGGCATACGGCGATGCTTGTCTGAACTTCTGGTCAAAAAGAGAGAGGAGCAGAGCTGAGAGTGCACGGATAAGCTTACCCGGACGTCCTGCAGTCAGGCAGGCCTTCTTCCAAGCCCAGAAGGGTTGGAGGAAAGGCTTGGTGAGGGGGCAGGCCGTTGTCGCCCACTGCAGCCTACCCAAAGCACTAGCGATCTGAGAAGCCGACATGACTTTACCGCTTTTAAGCTCTTGAAGAATGCCGATGACAAGCAGGTGCTTGTCTCGGGCCATCTGCACACAGGGTCCTTTTGGGTCAATGACAAAGCCAAGCCAAGTATTGACCTCAGCAAGCAGGGTTTTCTTCCAGCTCAGAGGAGTGCCGAGAGCAAGCAACAGCAAGCAAATCGCTGTTGCCAGCAGAGGGGAGTTGGATTTACGGAGTAGCCAGGCAAAGTCGTCGACAAAAACAAAACCCCAGTCGACCTCGGGAAACACGGCATATACAATCCTAAGAAGGATGGCAGCCATCCTTCCCCAGTAGAGCTGGGCACTGGCCATTCCATAGGTGCCTACAGTGTTGACCCACCATTCCTCACCAAGCTGGGCCACTTGGTAACGCCACTCTCGTAGGAGAATCTTGATCCTCCTGTGCGCCTTAGTCACATCAGCCTTGAGCAGGATCCAAGCATCGTCAGAGCCCGGGAAGCGCCAGGGTCGGCCGGAGCCGGCGCTGGAGTCTTCCTTCTCAGAAGGATCGTCCTGTTCCCGGTTTACCGGACTAGGGGCGGTTTCACGAGACCCCGAGGCAGCCGGTGTCTCCTGCTCCCCAGGATCAGGGCCATAGGCACCTGGCTTCCCACGAGAACGTGATGCCCGGAGCCAGTGCAGGCATTGGACACAGTCCATGACAGTGGGAGCCGTGGTTTTCTCTACTGTATTTTGCTGTATACGGAGATTAGCACCTCCCTTGGACCCATCAAAGATGGAACGGATCTTATCCGACTCATCAATTCCCGCCATGGGGCAGGGGCAGAGCTCTTCCTCAGCACACTGGCAGTGCGCTGCTGCTTCCGCCCGTGTGCATGGTCCAATGACCATGCCCAATGGAGTTTCTTCTATGAAGGTAGCCCGAATCTCCTCCCGAAAGGTGTCAGCGGAGGAGTAGTTCGAGTGGCCAGTGGGGGGTGGTGCTTCCACCGGGTCCCACTCTTCGCCAATGAGCTCAGATTTCAAAGGCCAAACGCCCGGAGATTGGAGAGTAGGGGTATCCACTCCCAGAGGGACACCTTCTTTGAGTATCCGCGGGTACTCAGCATCGACATCTTGGATGTCACACAGGAGTTTCCTAATCACGTCCAAGTGAAAGGGCTGTCCTGCATCCGGTTCGGAATGCTGGGGCATGATGAAATCACGAATTTCCTTGAGAACTGACTCCGGGAAAGGGTGTTGCTTGGCACCCGCGGCCGTGGAGGCTAGAAAAGAGGGGATGAGGGGCCCCGCCTTTTCTCGAATGAACTTACCCAGCGCAGGAGCCGTCGGTCCTTCTCGCAGGTGTGGAGGGGTCCTACCAGGAGAGGTCTTGCCTCCTCCGTCCCTTAGGGGCCTAACCTTCAAAGAGCGGCAACGTCGAAGGCCGATCACACCCGATCATTGGGGTCGCAGCGAGCAAGTGATCGCCTGCATGGGTACCTGCACCAGGAGACCCAGCATCCTGACGCTTCCCTCCCAGCGAGGGTATTAGGGAGGGTTGATCAGCCGCCCTGAAGGGTGCTGACCCTTGAGCCGCCCAGTGAGGACGCTCCTGTCCCAGCGAGGGATCTGCAAAGAGTTTGGCGGCTGACTGAAGCGCCTGTGTCGAGAAGCCTTCCGGCCAACGCCGATGCGATACTCTGTAGCATGGCTTCAGGTCGTCGGGCGTCCCCAGGCACGGGACGGTCCGGTTTGAGGTGATGAGTGTGTGTGCAGGTCCTGCCCTCCCAGATTGGAGGGGAAGATTCGTGACAGCTCTAGAGGGACGACTAACAACCCAACCAAAGGAACAAAGATCGAAGTGCAGAACCTCAAGGCCTAGATCTAAGGTCCAAGCACGCAGGGCCGGAGTGGCCCAGGCCGAGGAGGAGCGTCTCTTGGATGGCGAAATGGCTCCTCGAGCTGGATCCTCAGCCATCTCCAGGAAGCAGAAGACCTTAGGAGCAGAACTGGGCAAGGTCGCCTTGAAGGCGAGCCACGCAAGCAGAAGGAACCTAAGGAGCAGGGTGCTTTCCTCATCCGCCGAGTGAAGTATCGCCTCAGGAAGAGCAGCTATGCCCCAGGCATTCTCTGCAGAGCGGGCCCTAACTGCATGGAAAGTACCCGAGTCCTGAAACCATCTATCCAAACCCCAGGTTTTGAAATCCGGACATCCTCCCACAAAGGAGATGTTTCCTTGCAGCGCCGAAGCACAGAGAGACCCAAACAGGGTATCATTAAGGAGGTCCTTACCAGAGGGTTTCCTAGAGGAATCAAAGGCCAGAACTCTCGAGGAGAGTTCCGGGGCTTGGGCATGGAGGATAGCTTCCAGAGATGAGGCATCCTCCCGACCCGCGAATGGCAAGATGATGGCACCCTGAGGAATGCTGGCAGTGCTCTCGGAAGGAGTCCACTGGAGTCTTCGGACCAGGCGGTCAGGGACTCCATTAAGCCATTCAGGAGAGCAATTTGCAGGCAGGGAGCCCGGGAAATGTTTCTCAATCCAAGGCCCGATAGAGAAGGGCTTGTCATCCGAGAGAGCACTACTGGAGGGCTGCAGGCCCACATACGTGGTGTCCCCACCTGGCGTGGAGACAGGATTCCCACGGGGGGATCGCGATCTGTCCCGTGCTTGTTCTCCTTCAGGGCCATGGGCACCCGTGTGTCACCGACTCCGACAATTCTCCTCGTTCAGGGCCGAAGGCACCTGGGACTGGAG